CCCCTCAGGAAGCCTTTGCCTCCTGTCAGGTCATCATTGTAAATAAGAATTTGTTCTTAATTGATTTTCCTGGATAAATAAAGGTTCTACTACTACTACTACATCATAGTGTATTTATTAGTTTATTTATATTCTGTTTTAGCTAATAATCTGAATCTGTAGAGTGACTAGTACTTACTTTTGTCAAATAAATGTAGTGGAGTAAAAATAAACATTGGCTTCCAAATTGTAGTGGAGTAGAAGTATAGTAGCAGAAATTAAAAATAATCAAGTGAAGTACAAGTACCCTTACTTAAAGCGGACCTATCATGCTATAGTTGAAACATATATTGTAGGGCCATACCTATACAAAACATGTCTGTGAAGTTTTTCTTTCAAAATAGATCACCCATTACAGCCATGCCTCATACTGCTCAAACCCCTCTTTTGCAGCCCTGTTAGAGAAACGCGGATCTTGGGTCCTTAGCTTGAAAAAAAGAAAGAAGAGGAGGCGGAGCTAATGCCTGATCAGAATTCTACCGGAGATAAAGTTAAATTCTGCTGTGATAAAACGCCATCCTGTTTAAACCACATCAAGGATTATTTCTGAAACAGTATGGAGCTCAAATGCTTTTTCTCTTGCAGGTTTATCACAAGGTGAGTTCTTTTTTTATTTCCTGCTTTCCAAACACATGTGCTCTCCAGTACAGGTTAGCTCTGAGTGTTAGCGAGGCTTGCTAATGTAAACAAAGACGAGATTACGTCCAAAACACGTCAGGCATTGTTTTTGATAGCAACTCTCTGTGGGTCTGCTGCCGATTTGACGTCAGTTCGGATGGAATCTGTATCCGCTCGTTGTACCCCCGTTTTTAATAGATTTGGGTACGGAGGAAAAGAGAGAGGGTTTTATTTTCTGACGCTGCGTGAGTTCCCCGACGCACCGGGGACACATATGTATGTATAAAAGACATCACAAAGTGCATTTTGCATGATAGGTCCCCTTTAAGTAGTAAATGAACTTCACCACTGCGAATCATAAAGAGAGATCCTGATGGCTAGAAGTTTCAGTAGTCCAGTTAGGGTTGACTAAAGACTGGGTACACTGCAGCAGCTGAACCCTAATCAGAATGCCACCAGTCCTAGTTATTCAAATCAAATCAAGTTTTATTTATATAGCACATTTATAAACGATTTTTGGTGGAGCCAAAGTGCTGAACATATAATAAAAATAGCCTACAGTAGAGCCACTTTACAGCAAATACAACAGCACAGATTGTTCAGAATATCAGTATGAGAAAAACGACACCCTCTGTCCTTAGATAGTTATTGACTTCCTTTCTAAGGAACTGTCAACTCTCTGCTGGATGCAGATTCTATGGCAGTAATGGTGGCCTGTGCTATTGATGCTCTCCTTCAAACAGCTGATGGTTTATCAAAAGGGGGGGGGGGGGTGACAGCAGGTGGAGTGAGGAGGAGACTTCATCAGCACTAACAACAAAGTTTGGAGAGTCCTGCTGATGTTATCATCTGCCCGGAGAGATGAAAGGTAAGAGGGGAGGAGGAGAGCAACCATAAGATACGTGAGGGGGGAGAGAGAGGTGAAAAGGGAGAGAAATGAGGGAGTGCTGTAACAAAGTGTAGGAGTGTGTGTGTGTGTGTGTGTGTGTGTGTGTGTGTGTGTGTGTGTGTGTGTGTGTGTGTGTGTGAGAGGCTGAAAGGGAAGTTAATCTGAGTGTTGTGAGTGAAAGAGGAGAAAGAGGAGGACAGCAGGTGGTTGGGTTCTCCCCCCTCTGCTCCTCTACCTCACCTATTCATCCATTGTTGAGCAAATTCTTCTCCTTCACTCCTTCACAAAGACCCCATCTGCCTCCTTTGTGTCTCTCTCCCCCTCCCTCCCTCCCTCCCACCCTCCCACCCCTCCCCCCTCACTCTTCAGTCAGAGGAGAAAAGTTTGGAGCTGTGTCCTCTCCTTCCTTCACTCTTTCCTTTCTATTTTTAATGCTCAACATATGCAGAATGAAGGAGATTACGGGAGAGTGGGATTTGAAAGTGCTCTATGAAAACAGTTTTTACCCAGCATGCTGTGTAGAGGAGAATGTCTCTCCTCAGACTAAACACTGATCCACTTCACCCTCTGGTTCTGATGGAGCGACTCACCAGTCACTCATCAGTCCTCTAGACTGAGTGTGTGTTTCATCCGTTTCTGCTGAGGTCAGCATCCAGCACGCATGCTGGATAAGAAATGTGATTAATGGAGGATTGATTTCTGTTTTCTATTCAATAGCTAGTCAGTGCTGCTAAAGGAGAAGCTGATGCATTCTCTCACACTCTGGCACCCATTTCCTCTCCACTGTGTGTGTGTGTGTGTGTGTGTGTGTGTGTGTGTGTGTGTGTGTGTGTGTGTGTGTGTGTGTGTGTGTGTGTGTGTGTGTGTGTGTGTGTGTGTGTGTGTGTGTGTGTGTGTGTGTGAGAGAGAGAGGAATACGTTGATGAGCCATAGAGGACAGGGCAAGCTGAAGACTCTCGAGGAGACATGAGCTGAGTCTAAATCCAAAGGAAAGGGCTCTACTAATAATAGTCTGTATACGTGCAAAAAGACAATGTAGAAAGATAATAGTAACATTGATGATGGGTGGTGAGAGGGATGGAAATTGTAAAAAGTCTGAAATCTCTAATGATCTAATAATTGTAAGAAGAGTATGCAGAGGCTTGTAAAACAATGTAAGGTCCAGTATGTATACTTTAGTGACTGGATTTGGACACAGCAGATAAACATGTAATTATACGTTTTTTCACATTTAAGCAGCAGTCAAATAGTCTATTTTGCTTCTTAACTGAGTGAAAGATGATCAAAAGGAAAGGTGATTCAATGCTTCCTGTCTCCTCTCCTTTAGCCAATGATACACTGGACCTTCCTTTACCAAAGGAAATGAGATATTGCATTCCCAAAATTCCTTGTCATGTTACATTGGGGCGATTAGCAAAAACCAACAACCAACAACATCGTCAAGGTATGCAGATCGTTATGTATTTTCATACAATAACGCTAACTGTGATTTATGTGGATGAGCAACCTCTTTCCGTATGATTGCCTGCTTTCACTTTTGGGACTGGTAGCCTATGTTTATTTTTTTATTTCAATCCCAGACTTAGTTACAAAGTCAAATTGTTCACTGGGTTGTTAACATTTATATATATCTCTACTTCAAAGACACTCAGTGTTTTAAAATCACGTGGCCCAGTGTAAGGGGAGGTTGGATCGTCTTAGCATCGCTGTTCATTATTTCTTTATAAATTCTCCTTCACATCTTAGTGGTTAGGAAATGAATAAGGATGTTTCTTTCGGACTATTTTACTCCAGAAAGTTGACCTTCTTGATCTGCCTGAAATTCATTGTTTGCTGTATTTTTCATCTAAAGATATGATTAATTTGTGCCACTGCCTCTGACGGCCCGTCCACACGGCGGCGTGCGTTGAAGCTTCAACGCTTCTTCCCATTCACTTTGAATGGGGTGACGTCACGCTTTGCCGAACTGCATTGTGGTTCCGTCGCTTCGCGTTGCTCGCTTCAAAAGTTGAGCAAAGTTCAACTTGTGAAGCTTCGACGGAAGCGCCAGCCAATCAAATCATATGCCAGTACAAGCTCTAGCCCAGGGGTGCCCAACCTTTTTTGAACCGAGAGCTACTTTTAAAGTTGCCAGTCTGCCGAGATCTACCAGTCCAAATAGAGAGACGTAGCCATTACTGACAGCCTACTACCAGGTAAATACACACTTCTACTTTTATACAACTGACCTTTGTACGATGAATACTTCATAAAATACTGCAGATCCTTTATCTTACCTCTTTCTAATCTACACACATACAAGTATTTAACTGAAGTTACACAACAGTGTTGTTGATACAGAGTTGGAGTTTATTCACACGTCACTACAGTGGGTAATGTTTTCAAGAAACATTGAACAGTGCTGCCACATATGACACAGGAAAAAAGAAAAGACTCTGAACCCTTTCTTTGCCATTATATAAAAATAGTGTTGCTACAAAAGTATAAATTAGGCTTACTAATAAGAAAACTCAGATCTGAAGCTACACAGGAATCTGCTGCAGCAACAGTGCAATACAAAAGACAACATTAATAGAATCAAACCTTTTTTTTGTTGCATTTTAGTAGATTATAAAAATAAATGCCTTTAAAATAGGATGCAAGCAACACTAGTTTCTTAACCTGAATTGATAATAGACTATAATCAATTTAAGTTTGCATTCTTATACCATTTTGTACAATAATTATAATGAATGAGTTCAAACAAACTAAAACTTACAGCTGATTAATAACGGTATATAACTTGAGTTTTTATTATATCAAAAACCTGTTAAAATGCTACTGTATTTTTACTGTCCCCCAAAAGCGCGTCGGCAGCCTCCAGGAAGACTTCATGTGTTTGGCAAGAACGTGACTGACACGATAAGATGCTCTGGTAGCAGCCTTGCTCTTGTTGTTGGGCCTGGTGAAAATGGACTGCTGTGCATTTAGCTGTGCTCTCAGGCCCCTCCCCTTTTGGAGCGTAGGTCAGAATTAGGAGGGAATTCCGTCTCGCAGCGTTTGTGCACTGTTTTGAAATGTCGCTCCTAAATTACCCTTCTTCGATAAGGCCACGTTCGCATTGCAGATGAGACAGATGGACTTTGAATTGGAATAGATACAAAAATAATCATCCTCCCACTCGGAGTGAGAATTATATATTTTGGGCTTTTTTGCTTCTGCCATAATTGCGGTCTTGTGTGTGTGCGGACTGTCACTCCTGTTGCCACGGACAACGTCATCGAAATAGTGCCCACTGCCCACCAGCCACGCCCCGACACATGGGGTCACGCTGGCCAATCACAAAGCTTTGATGCGTTCAAGTGCATTATTCTGGCACAGGAAGATTATGTTATAGGACATTAACGATAAAACAGAATGTTGTTGTTCTATTTTTAGACACATCTCGCGATCGACTGGGAATCTCCCCGCGATCGACTGGTTGGGCACCCCTGCTCTAGCCAATCAAACCGTGTGCTTGTGTGTCCGGGGCGGGAGATTCAAGTGATTGGTTGTTGGTCGAGTTTCAGACACGCCCACCGGCAAGCTTCAACTCACGCTGCCGTGTGGACGCTGCGTGAGGCATAGAAGACGAGTGAGCATAGAAGACGGCAGTAGGAGATCGGACAGACCAGGCTGAGCTCCCGTTGGAGCTGCTCCGTCCACACTCACGACAACAACAACAACAACAACAACAACAACAACCTGTAGACAGATATAAAGCAGCGACTGTATTCGCCATACACAGCCTGTGGTTTGCACATTTACAAACACAGACTTTCTCCAGTTTCTGACCAGATACGATGAACTGTGAGCTCTGTGAGCAACAGCTGCTGTTTAGTTTCTGATTCAACATCGTCAGTGAGGACACTTTGAGATTCTTACCACTGATTGGCTTTTGCACGACAGCTTGGCCGTGTCATTAGCTTAATTTACACCGCCCAGGACGAATGCGTGTCTATCCGCGTCTTTGCATTGACTATACATGTAAGTCGTTATAATAAGGACGTTGCTTCCGTTGTGAACTTCCCTTCAGAGTGTGCGGTTGTTAAACTAGATGTGTGTTGGAGAGGGGACTGACCTGTGAGATGCCCGGGGAGTGTGTCATTCCCAGAGAGTGTCCACTGAGCTGCTGGTGCTGCTGGTGCTGCTGCTGCTGGTGCTGCTGGTGCTGCTGCTGCTGGTGCTGGTGATGCTGCTGGTGGGGACTGTGCAGCCCCCCCAGGTGGGCCTGGCTGTGGATGGGGGGGCTGACCTGGAGCGGAGGGCTGGACGCCGCCATGCTGCCCAGGGACAGAGCTCCCTGGTGGGGGGGAACGCTGGGCCGTGGCACCGTCCCTCTGGAGGACAGGGCCTGGAGCTGGGGGTGCATCTGGGTGTGAGGGGGGGGCAGGTGTGGGCTGAGGCCGGGGCTTGAGGCGTGGGAAGGGTGCGACTGGTGAGGGTACGGCATGTACATGCTGGGGTGCTGGTGGGAAGGGAGGGAGTGAGGGTGAGAGTGGGGGTGAGAGTGAGAGTGGGGGTGGGGGTGGGGGTGAGAGTGGGGGTGGGCCATTGGGCTGGAGGAGTGGTGCTGGCCCGGATGACCGGGGTACACTGAAGGCTTAGGGCTATACATTGAGGTAGAGGAAGGTATGGAGGAAGAGTGGGGGGGCTTCATTTCAGACGGATCGTTGTAACTCTGGAGAACAAAAAACACAACTGAAAATCAGATTCACATTCACACCTTTAAAATATGTGTGTGTGTGTGTGTGTGTGTGCACGTGTGTTTGTCTGTGTGCTTGTGTGTGTATGTGTGTGTCTTTGTGTGTGTGTGTGTACCTGTGAGACCAGGCTGGCTCTGTATGCAGCCAGTTGTTTCAGATACTCCTTCTTAGCCGTCTCCGTCCTCTTCTTGTACTCCTGAAACACACACAGAGGATTATCCACCTCTATTCCAGTTCACAACATTTCAATGAATGATCAGTACATCATCTGTAAAGCACAGTTTATATTCCTGTAAACTGATTTTTGAGTGAACACCAGCTGTGAGAATGGATACTGCGTTTAATCATCACAACAGCCATCAGGGGGCTCATAGTGTTTCCCTCAGCTGACAGTTATCTACATGTAACACTAGGCTACAGTAATGAATTCTCACGCACCTACTACAACTTGTTTTTTATATTTGTACTGAGGCTGATGGCATTAGAATCGTTTCAGTAATTTGGTCATAAAGAACCTTTATGACCTTAATATTTGACATGTTGACACTGTGGTACGTGAATATACGAACCACATTTCATTGCAATTAAAAGTCTAGATATTTCAGTAAATCATCTATAGATCTGTGCTGCTGGCATGGCCAAATCATGTTCCTAACAAACTTTCATTATTGTGTTTTTGTATTTCATGACCAAAAACTAGACAATCATTGAAAAAAAACTGAAATGTTGACTTTAATTAAATGTATTATATCAAACAAATGTAATATAACTGAAAGCAATAATATTAAGTTGAACCTATTTACATATGTAATCTTTATATTATTGCTCTTAGCTAACCTGATACAGTTATGTGAAATCTGTTGACATAATACATTTAATTAAAGTCACATTTGGTTTTTTTCAGTGTAGCTACCATGTACATATTGTCGTCATGTCACTGATGGAGGAGCTACCTGTTTCTCTTCCTCCCCCAGGCCGTCCCACATGGAGGCCACGATCTTGGACACCTCCCCGAAGGTAGCGTTGGGGTTCTGGGCCTTGATGTTGGCTTGGGTGTCCCTGAAGAACAGGGCGTAGGCGGAAACTGGCTTCACCGGCTCGTTGGGGTCCTTGCGCTTCTTCTTCTTTGGTGTTTTTGGTTTCTTGGAGATGTCCACTGTCGCTGGCCTCTTCTCTGCTACACTGACCAGCTAAAAGGAGGAGGAGGAGGTTCATTTGACAAAGGAAGGTATGGCGAGGATGAATATATGGATGTACACAGAGGTGGGTGGAGGTTAGATCTGTATTAAATATGTGTAAAAACAGTAAAATGGTGGTACAAGAAAACAACATGCTTAGAGCGGTGCAGTGATGATGTGTTTTTATAGGCCGACCCTGAAGTTAGCATGGCAAGGCCTCCCTCAGTAAAAAGCAATGGGATTTTTCCCTTGGATTTCAAAATGTTGCAGAAAATATGATCTGTAGTGAATACAATTTGTATGCTACATACACATTTTTTCCGCAGGATAAGCCCCTCATATCAGCACCACTTTTATAATTGTCTAAGTGTTAATTCCCAGAATTTAAAAGCTGACGTTGAAGAAGCTTCAGAAATGCACCAGTGGGGTATTTACTGACATATTTGACATCGTAGAACAACACATGAACATCTCTTCAGCTTGTGTTAACCAAAGGTCTTATTTTGGGCATTAACCACAAACAGGCTGAAATGGGAAATGTTTATATAAAGGCAAAAAGATATACCTTATCATAAAGAGTGAATCATCCATTTTGGAAATCAATTGTTAATTAATTAATTCTAAAAGAATTACCAAAATAGAGTTTTTACCAGGATCCTTGAACATGTGTTTGTTTTGATTGAAATAGAATAAGTGAGCAGCCTTGACAGCTAACAGCAGATATCCCTGTCCTGCCCGTGCCTCCTGATTTAGTCACAGGGTACTGAGTGCTGTAGACTGTTAATGCATCACTTCAGCTAGCCACAGCAGCTTAGTTTCCCTCAGCCACTTTAGCTCAAATTGATAATGTACTCAAAAAGCTTGTAGTTCACTGCTGACGGAACCAGCTCCGCGTCTTTCCTTCCCAGGCGATTGCTTTCATTTATTTTCCCCGGTAATGATGTGGTTTCTTTGGAGAATTTTTCCTTGTGTGCTTCAAGGGATTAACGGACAGGATTTAATTGATCAAACTAAAATAAGTAAATTTGACTACTGTCTTTCGATGGAATCATATTGTGAAACAATCAGTGGCGAACCGTGTGTGTCTACAGAAGGTCCAGTTGTGATAGACACGGTTGACGGTTCGCCACTGGAAACAATCATGTATCCAGATATGATTCACTATTATTTGGACTCTTAATTGAAAATAACAAGCACATACTGACAATTGCAGATTTGTTTTTCCATCACACTTCACCAAGGCTCAATTCAGAGGGAGTCCGAAGCGGACTCCAGCTGGTACAAGCTGCAACCTTTATAGCTCCATTTCCTTTAGAAAATATTAAACTATGCTTTACAAATATATATATTTTTTATAACTCAAGTCATACAGGAATATAAAAAATAGGCTATACCACGTAGTTAGTTTGTTATGAAGATAAAAAATGACAGATATTAAGTCATTAACATTTTGACTATATCTCCAAGTCTAACAATGATGGTCTTAAGGCCCCTGAAAAGTACTTTCAAATCGTGCATTTTCTCTCTTTAATTCACATTCAAAACTTAACCTAAATAACACCCAGCTGATCTGCTCTATCAGGACTGTTGGACGTGGAGGGATTTGACTGACAGGAGCCTGTCATCAGATTGGATTTATGTTTCTAAACCTGAGCCACTCATACTTCACACCAAAGAGAAGACAGAAATGTCCACTACTGCATGACTGTTGTTTTTATTCCCTTTCAGTCCATTTCTTATATAGCTGTATATGAGTAACAGCTGACTATGAGGGGCCGTACAGGCCGTAATTCATACTGGTCCTCTCACACACATACATTCTCCTTTTACATACATACATTTTCACTCTCACACACATACATTCTTCTTTTACACACATCAGGGTTTCCCACACATAGACTATACTTGGGCGGGCCGCCCAGGTATATTAACGGCCGCCCAAGTATATTTTGCGACCTATTTAGGTTTTTGTTTTTTTCGTCCGTGACCACGATGCCATCTGCGATTGATTTACTTGTGGACAATGATCCCTCGCTTTACGCCTCCTGTACCCAGTCCCGGACTGGCCATCGGGAGGACCGGGGGGTTTCCCGATGGCCTAAAGTGGCCTGCCTCACACAGGGTGACTGGCTGTCCACATGATGCCGACATGGCCACTGTCATACAGATCATAAATCAAAGCCCTTGATTGGTCTCTGTGTGTCATTCAAGCTCGGGATAACCTCAGCTCAGGTGAGGTGAAGGACTCTCTGAGTGTTTAGATAGTTAACTTAGTCTAAGTTCTCAGTGGGTCTCAAACGGGTTGGTCACCATTTATGTAAACAGTAACACATATTTCCATTTGAGGGGGGAGTGATTAGTAAAATATGCATGAATAAAAAAATAATAAAGTTAAGTAGGTGAAAAAAGGTAAGATACACTTTTACAACTTGTTGAGAGCTAAAACTAGTCTTTGCAGCTGCCTCAAAGAGGAGCAGGAGGGAGACAGGAGAGTCTGGTTCAGGAGCACAGACACACTCACAACTATAAATGAACTAAAAATAAATAAATAAACAAGTTTCAGTGTTTTTTCATATTGGATATGGTATGTTATTGGTTATGGCCATGATTTTATGATTTTATGATTTTATGATTATTGAAATGTATACAGTTCTGTTTCATATAGGTGTTCCCATAGATCTAGTCTCTTTATTGTCCCCTCAAAATGCACCAGATTGATGCATTTAACTCCAACATTAAAAAAAATATATATCTTACTGGGGGAGCATGCCCCCGGACCCTCCTAGAGGATTTGAGGTCCACCCCCACTTAAAATCACATGGATAGGTTCCTAAATACATTTACCATTTTTTTTTAAATAGTAACCCATGTCCATATGTTTATTTGTGGGCAGTAGATTTAAACTATAGGGCTATCACTATGGGCCCTGCCTGTACCTGTTCGCTCTGGCATCGCGTGAAGGGTCTGCTAACAAGCGACCAACAGAAAGGTTCATGTTAATGTTGTTGCACGTCACCTCAATGCGTGAAAGAAAGTATAGTGGAAACGGAAGGAGTATAGTTGAAACGGAAGGCAGATCATTATCGCGCTGTGATTGGCTCAGACGGTCGAGCGGGGCGGGCTCATGTTCAGAACTTTGGATTCAAATCAACATGATGGAGGGAGATGAATCCGTGTATCTACGGACCATTTGTTTTTCTTTATTAAAAAAATAAACGGAAGAGCGTCTGAGAGGCGCTTTTGCTTTTTGTTTTTTACCTTACTAAATGTTATAATGGTCATTGGAGCGAGGGGGGGGGGGCGATACTCGTCTCACTCTCTGTGTGAGACGACAAGTATGAATTACGGCCCCTCATAGCTGACACTACAGGTTGTGTAACTTCACATGAGCAGCCAGTGTTCAGATGTGTAGGAGCAGGGCCGGACTGGGACAATAAGTCAGGCCGGGAATTATACACCCAGCCAGGCCACTACCATTGTTTTTGTTCCATTTTGCTGGATTTATTTGTCAATATTTACAGCGTTGCTGCCCATAGTGATAGCCCTATAGTTTAAATCTACTACCCAAAAATAAACATATGGACATGGGTTACTATTTAAAAAACTGTGCAAATCTATTTAGGAACCTATTCATGTGAACATATTTTAAGTGGGGGTGGACCTCAAATCCTCTAGGGGGGTCAGGGGGCATGCTCCCCCGGTAAGATTGTATTTTTCATTTTAGACTTAAATGCATCAATCTGGTGCTCTTTGAGGGGGAAATAAAGAGACTACACCCATATGAAACAGAACTGTATACATTTAAATAATCATAAAATCATAAGAACATGGCCATAACCAATAACATAACATATCCAATATGAAAAAACATTGAAACTTGTTTATTTATTTATTTGTTTTTGGTTCATTTATAGTTGTGAGTGTGTCTGTGCTCCTGAACCAGCCTCTCCCTCCTCTCCCTCCTCTCCTCTCTTCTCCCTGCTCCTCTTTGAGGCAGCAGCAAAGACTAGTTTTAGCTCTCAACAAGTTTTAAAAGTTCCGTTAGCGCAACTAGCTAGCACCAGATGCTAACAACAACAATACACGTAACCGGTGCGCACGCTTTCTCTCTCGCGCTCGCTCGCGCCACACATACACACACCCTCCCGAGCTTGAATGGCACACAGAGGCCAATCGAGGGCTTTAGTGTATGATCTGTATGAAAGTGGCCATGTCGGCAGGCCACATCATGTAGACAGCCAGTCACCCTCTGTGAGGCAGAGTCAGACCCACATTTGCGCAGCGTTGCGTTCACAATACATATATAAAAAATGTAGCAGGCCACTTAACAGGCCAGGCCATCGGGAAACCTCCCGGTCCTCCCGATGGCCAGTCCGGGCCTGTGTAGGAGTATATTGTTAACATATATTGTCTATTTAGTTTTCTATTCCCTGCTCTTCCAGAGGCAAGCACTGCCTTTATACTTGCTTGTCGGACATATCCAATTCATTCTCACCCAATGAGAATGGAAAAAAGGAGATGAATATTATTCAGCAGTACAGTAATGGTTTTATTTCCCCAGAATATGAACAGTCAGTTTGGTGGAGTGTGTGTTTCAGTGTGAGGGCGCAGATTTCCATCTACTTGATATGCAGGGAGAATGGGTCTATTATGACACATAACATTACCATAACACATAACATTACCATAACAACTACCCCCCCCCCCCCCCCACACACACACACACACAATACAGTGTCTTTGTGTGTTTCTTTACCCTGAGTCCGTCATCATTGTCGTCCTCATGTGCTGAACTGGACGGGGACGGGGTGGCTGATTTACTTCCAGGGGGGGAAGGAGAATTATGGGTAGCAGAGTTCCCACTCAGCCCCAGCTGGGATTGGTTGATGGTGGACAGCTGACCTTGCTGGCTCATGCCCGATTGGCTCCTGGGTCCGAGCGCAGCTTCGATTGGCTGTTGGCTGCTGGTGAACCGTGAGTCAGAGTTCACCATCTGCTGCATCTGTACAAAGACATCATGGGGATGACAGTTAGTGGGTGAAGGCAAAAAGAGAGGTGCAGGAATGAGTCGTAGTGCCCGGAAATGAGTTAGCATTTCACCACTTAAGGTTCCCTGCATTTGAAATCAAGATTTTTCCTAAATGTTGGGACAGGTTTTAATTCCAGATTGATGACATGATTGTTGTTGTTTTTATGAAACCTCTAAAAATTGTTTTAATGATAGTGACTTAAAAATATCAGCGGAGAGATGCAGTAACAGCTGTGTTAGAAATATTAAACATTTCTGCAGTTAAATACATTTTCCTGAGATCATGGTGATGTTGTACTGCACAGGATACACCTATGATTTAATGTAATAAATATAGCATTACTTATTTACTAATGTTTCAATTTGAATTCTTAAAGCAGCAAATAATCCTATTTAAAACATGAATTAAAAAAAAAAATCAATTAAGGCAATAATATCAATTAGGCAGAATCTCTTGTCCTAAACAACCATTATTTCTAATAGCCAGCAGGTGTGTCTACAGGTTGCACAAATAATTAAGAATGTGTACAAGTCTCTGATTAATTGTATTACCCCAGTAAACAACTTCCTGACGGGTTTAAGGTTGAGTTGACAGCTCGTGAGGAAAACACAGGCTGATATCAGGCTGCCATCTAAGATCATGTTGGACTGAAGAGCTTCTGAGCTACATAACGTGTTCATGTAACACACCCAGCTGGGCTCTCAAACACTCTGCCTTTGCCTGACAGGTTTTGCACAGTCAGTGTGCAGCAGTCCAGGATTCACTCATAATGAAATCTGATAGTAACCGTGGCAACAGGGAATACAGGTCAGAGAGGAGATGGGATCAGAAGTCTTTTAACATCAATCCCCGCTCCTGTATAAATACATCAATACAGTCTAAACTCCATTTGCTGCACTCTACAGAAGTTGCTGTATATGTTTACCTGGAGGAGACATGATGGTGTCCACAGCTGCACACTGAGCACACATACTCATTCATTCTGCACACTGAACAAAGTGAAACGCTGACTTGAATTAAATGTATGTACACACATTTCACATAACTGTATTAGGCTAGTTGAAAGCAATAATATTGTTTAAATAAAAAATATTAGGTTCAACTTAATATTATTGCTCTCAACTAACCTAATGCAGTTATGTGAAATCTGTTGACATAATACATTTAATTAAAGTCAACGTTTCAGTTGTTTCAGTGCACTAATGTCTAATCATTTAGCAGAAAGCTGATGTACTGCTATATACTGTATAAAGTGACCAGACTGTTGTTTAATTGTTACGATCAAATAAAGTGACGCACACAAAATATGAATGAATGTTTTTTTGCTCTAAAGCCTTTTATTAATAATGAATCAATAAACATTTTCTCCTCTGCATTTTGCAGCTCCCGTGTCTTTCCCTATGCAGTATCCCACTACCTCATGTGGAATGTCAACAAGGACACTTCTAGAGTAACTAGTTACTCTTCACATAAAAAGAAATGTCACGCCTATTTCATACAACGCATAACTATAATACTAATCAACTTGTAGTGTTAATACAAAATATGTATCCAAAATTGGCAACATTTTGCATTATTATACTCATATGTGGATTTATTGGTAATAAAAAACAGAATTCCCACATCTTTAACAAATGACTCAAATGAACAAAATATTATTTCATGTATATATTCAGAATAGCTAAGTGTTTCAGAAATAGCTTATAAAACGCAAGTATAAACAACATGAATACAAAATATTCTATTCTATAAATTGTTTTACTTTCCCGTTTATTTTAGTAAAACCATTTTTTTTTTATGTTTTAAGGTAAAACAATTGAGATAATATGAAGCAGCTTCTCTGCGAAGAAGGAAAAAGCAATTATTTCTGATAAAGTAGTTTTGGACAAATGGCATTTAATGGCATTATTTAGCAATCCATCATTTTCATGGGCCCCCTCTGTCACCCTGTGTAGAGTCGTTCAGTCTTTACTGGTATTGCCCAGTTTTTATAAAGAAATATACTGCTATTAAGCACCATGTTGTACTTTATCTGCACTATACTTCTGCTGTTAATATAAATGTCCCTGTTGCGGGACAAATAAAGGAATTCTGATTCTGAGCAGTCTCGTTGTGAGTCACTCGTCTTTTTTTGTCCATTTCTCATGAAAACAAAACCAAAGTGATTTCTAACACCCTCAGCATGGGAACTTTGACACCCATCATCACAAATATGAAGATGGGACATGGTTAGTGATGAGTTTCCTCTTAGTAAGCATCGAATAATAGCGGATGTGGTCTGGTGCTCTTGGGAACGCGTCACTTGAACTCGGAACACTGCTGTGGTATTTAGATAGAACACAGAGTGATGTTCTCTAACATGGAAAGAGCTTTCAGACTGACGCATGTGCTGGTAGAAAAGCAGACAATTAATAGCTGCGGTTCAGCGTTGGGACTTCAATAAATGTCACGTTGGTTAACAGTCAAAATACCCATTGTCATAATTCTCCAGAGAGCTTTTACTCCGTCACATTTATGTGACAGCTCGCATCACGAACATAAAACGGCTGGATTTGGAATAGTTTGAAGATCTGAGGAACAGGCTGCACTGATTTTGATGTTTTTTCGCAGATAACATGTAATGAGTGTTATCTGATTTCATTATGTGATTTATTATCTGGGGCCTCATTTATAAAGCGATATACGCTAAAAAAATGGCGTACGCCAGTTTCTACGCAATGTTTGCGATTTATAAAATACTAACTTGACGGGATAACGTGCGGTCCTCCACGCAAACTCTAACCCATGCGTACGCACTAAGCACAACAACGGGAGAGACGAGAAACTGCGACACCGTTGGCAGAAGGAAGAATGGAGAGAAATATGTGGAAATAATACCATCAATAAAATGTTACCTCATTTATCATGAAGAATTCATTTTCAAACATTGATTAAAGGCAATCTTAAAATGATTTAACAAACGCCTGTTTGCGACTCCTCAGTGCACACAAAAACATAACTTGGAGAAATAAATAAATACGGATATGTTATTTAAAACCACCTCGAATATGTTGTGTTAATGTTATGAAATGTTTTCTCATAAATGATGCGGTAAGCAGGAGGACAGAATTACGTCTAAACTGAGGCCGTGTGGCATTTCTATAGGTTGTACGAGCATGGTTTTATATACTATCATGTTTAATCGTGTTTTATGCCGTTTGCCAAGACTTGATAAGTCGCTCGTAAAACACAGGAGGTATGGAAGCTAAGAACACCATATGTGGTCAATTGTACAGCTGATATAACACAACACATTAGTTGTATTTCCTTTAACTGGTGGATATAGAGTTGCTGGGGGGGGGTTGAGACGCACAGGCTGCAGTGGAGACGCTGCGCACAGCTGATCGACAGCTGGGACACAAACCACCAAATACAAAAACATAATTCAGATCCAGTCGTCATGACTCCACTCCGGAGGGATTCCCCGATCATTTCTTACAGTCTCTCATCAAGGGGGGGTCTCCTGTCCCCGGTACAAACACACTGCCTGAGGAAGGCTATGTGTATTGTTTTTGTCATTAACCTTTTTCGGGCCATTTATTTATTTATTTTGGTGACGATCCGACCTCCATGCTGCTACTCTGGTTCAAACTGCATCCACCAAACAATATGATTTATCTCCACCTCCCCAAAATAACCCACATCTGACACGGTGTGAGATGTATTTTTTAGCTGTTCTGTCGTCATTTCCTGTGATCTTCTTCATGCAGTCAGTCAGAATGAATGAATGAATGGGCGTTTCTTTGACTATTTATAGGCAAATATGGGCGTTACGTGAAGCCCGCAAAAGCTGCACCGCATTTCGAGTCGGTTGTGATTTATAAAGGGAAACCGGCATAGGAAGTGCTGTACGCACTTTCCTTGCCGGTACGCAATGTTTGGTGAATCGGGAAGTGGCGGAAAATGTATGGACCTATTTTTCTGATTTCTACTACGTAAGCAACCTTCCCACGTGAATCCTACGCACGGCGTTATACATGAGGCCCCAGGACTTTTTATCAATATATAATAAAACTGCCTGGCTGACAGAGGTTGAAGAAGTACTCTAAGTATTAACATAAAGCAGTAATAGTACAGTGTAAAAATACTCTGGTACAAGTAAAAGCATTCAGAATAGTACATAAGTAAAAGTAAAAATGTATTGGTATACTTCCACAAATAATTCCAAAAAGTACTTGTCATGCAAAATAGCCATTTTAAGTACCACATATTTAAAATGATTGTATGTAAAATATTGTTGCGTTTATGTATACATCACTTTAATTATGCAATTGTTAAAGATGGAGTTTATTTGAATTACTTATAATATTATAATATAATGTGTGTTGAATTTTGTATTAATAATGTAATGACCTGAAATCTGCAAAGTAACTAGTAACTAAATATGTTAAATACACATAGTATAAAGTACAACATCTGCCTACAAAATGTAGTGGAGTTAAAGTATAAAGCAGCATAAAGTGAAAATACTCAAGTAAAGTACAAGTATCTCCATGTTTTACCTAAGTACAGTACTTGAGTAAATGTACTTAGTTACATTAAACCACTGTTGGCTGAGGATGTCCGATTGGTGCATGGAGAAATAGGAAAGGTTGACTTGAAAATGTTCTGATGGAAAATGCGCAGTAAGAGCTAATGGAAAGGATGCATGTGTATTTCTGTTGTAGTTTTCAGCCGTTTGTGTAGCAACAACACTAGCTGCCCTGCTGAGAGGAGAGGAGGTCAGAGGTCACACAACACCTGGTGCCACTGTCACATCAGAGCAGCTAAAAACACTTCTTTAACTAAGCGCATGAGCAATGGAAGACTTTGGAGGGATTGAGAAATCATTTGGAAGGAGAATTACAGAGGGGGGCCCCCTGCTGAGGGCGAGACAGTAATGACTGGCTCATGTCACATCTTCACAAAGTTGTGGTCCATGACAGGATATCAA